GTGGCAACCCTCAACTTTCGCGGGCACTTAGTACCATTTTTCAGGCGTAGTTTTCAGTCCTTCTGCCCTCATATGAAAGCTCAAAGACCCAGGGAGTTGATCCTGGCGACGATTTACACAATCTCACGATTTTGGGGGCCAAACAATCTCCTTTTTCAAAAGATACTGCGGGTGGGGGCACTTTTAATGCTAGTGAGCTGGTCAGAAATTCTCACTTGAATTAGTGGTCTGCTTCCTTAGGAACTAGTTGGCAAGATCATGTGATCGCCTAGTCACGTGTCATTTTTGCCATTTTGAAACCTCGGTTTCACTGTTGTATGCGGTGGCTTCGTCGCTATTTGATGGGAGTACGAGTAGTTAGGCCATGACCTTTATAAACCCCACTTCTTTCCAGTGCCTGTCTAGCTCAGTCTTAAAGGAGTTCATATTTTTGGCATTTATAATGTAGGATGGGAGACTATTCCAATTATTGATGACTCTTTGTGAGAAGAAGCCCTGCCTACATTTTAAAGTCGTGTTGAGCCCTGGTTTATTGAGTTTGAGACTGTGGCGCGGCCCCTTGTGTTTGTAAAAGCATGGACATTCTACCTCCATGGTAAAAGCCAACTGGAAGAATCTTTTCTGATCCGTTGAAATTAGGCCAGATGGAATATTTTGGCACACCAGCCGGAGGAATCTGACTTGAATAAAAGCTGTACTCGTGGCTCTGAAGGGTTTTCTTGTTCAAAGGGAATTAAAGTCTGATTGAAGTTGCAACAAGGGACTTCCACGATCCACCTTGGTACTGTATTCATAAGCATGGCTGAACACCAGGGGGCGCTGTTTGAATGCGCTACACGCAGAGAGCAAAACACAACGCCACAGTTATTGCCAAAGTGAACGGGGTTTGAGAAACGGCCATGATTTTGACATTGACAATGACATGTCGACATGTGATCAGCCGGCCAGATATTTTGCTCGGGCTGGATCGATCGGTGACGGTATATCTCTGGCTCTAGCTAGCTAGCTAGCTCGCTGACGTTCATGGACGTTAGGCTGGTCATCACCTTCACGGACGTTAGGCTGGTCATCACCTTCACGGACGTTAGGCTGGTCATCACCTTCACGGCCAAAGATGGACATGACGGAGGGGCTATGTTCAATGTTGTTTGCCTACATGTACCGGTACCTCCATCATTAGCCCCACTCTCACTCCCGATCCATCCGGAGTGATACTGATAGTCCGTGCCACACTAGTGATGCTACTAGTACTACATCATGTGAGTGTAACGTTACTGCTGCTGACTTTGTCATGTTTGTTGCACGAAACTACAACTTAGAACGGCATGTGCAGGAGCCTACATCATGTTTGAAAAGACAAAGAGTGTGGGCAAATGATGGCATTCTGAATCGTGAATATTTATATCTGTCTGCACTTTTCAATTAGGCCTACATGTAAATCTTCCCCTCAAAAGCCGTCCACACTAAAAATATCTCATTAACATGCAGTCACGATGGTTTTGGGACCGAGTTTAAGCCATTATTAGCAAAATTCAGACCTTTCAGAGTACTACTAGGCTGTGTGTAGGTATGTGCAATGAAATTTTGAAGTGTGAGTAATGAAAAGAAATAACTTGTCATTGGAAAGGGCTTTGCAAACGCAATAAAATAATGCAAGAATCAGCTCAGTCGGATGTAAACAAAGTTATGAAATGAGGACTAATCATTTCACAGCTTTGTTGTTTTTGTTGCAAAGTCTCCAGTCTGCTGTATTTTGTAGATGTAAAAACCACAATTCTGCACAATTTTGCTCAGAGGAAGTGTGTGGTTTTTACAGAATTTGACACGTTGTTACATGATTGATTGATTATACTGATATCAACTGGCAGGTGCCTGACTAGGTTGATATAGTGAAGCACCTGTATGTACATGTAATTGCTAATTTCAAATTTACAGCCTCCAAGTTTAAAAGTCCATGTACTTTGACTGCAAAGGTGGATGCAGGGGGGCAAAGAAGGAGAAAGTAGTGATTTGGGGGTCTATTTCATTTCCTTCCTTGCGTGAAAAGTCCCAGTATGGGCGCTTCACAAAAGGGCACATCTAAGAGTTTGCAACGCATTGGCCAATCAAAATGCGTGAAATCTGTCGACCCAATGAGTGTGGAAATGGTCGAAAAATTTCGTGCATTGTGATTGGCCAACCCATTGCAAACTCTTAGAGGCCCACTATTGCGAATCCCCCGTATTGTAGCCTCAGCTCTCATACTGGCCATATAGGCATAAATGGCATATGAAAAAACAAACACACTATTTTTGGGCCCCACAAAAGAAGTTTCCTTTTACACATGTACATAAGTATGCATAGCAACCTGTTTTATGACCACAGGTCAAATGCTGCTATTTGCTTGTTTTTCCATAATAGTCCATAAATTCCAGTCCTTTTTGTCAGTTTACCAGAGGCATTCGTTTTTAAATAACACCAACACATACATTTTCCACATAATTCTTTTTTTTTTGCTGGCAGATGGTCAACCAGTTTTTCTGAGACAGGTGTCTGGAAAAGCATTCCCTTTGGAAAAATGGACTTAATACCAGTACCTTGCTGACAAATACATGATCACCTCACTCATTGTGGAGAGCAGCTTTGTCAACTGACACTCAATCTTGAAGTTGTTAGATGACTGAGATGTAATATTTGAGGATGTGGTGAAGAAGAAAGGACCTTTGTTCGCTACATTTTCCCAAACTTTTAATGCTGCAAATTCCTTTGAAAGGATTTTTACCTGAGTGGTTTGGCCCGGCAATATGGCAATTGGCCAGGGTATCTACAAATATGTCACCACAGAGCACATACTGGTTGCGTTTATGTTAGCCTACGGGCCCATTATACCCACCCAAACGCAGTACATTGAGAAGAGGATCGCGGAGCAGTTGGGAGTAGTAGAGGTCAGGTTGTCCGAGTGTGTCACAAACACATCCAGTTCTGGCTATCAGCTGAGGCAGAAAGTGCAACAAGAGGCCAGCAACTGGTCCCTGTACCTCACGGCCATCCTGGCCTTCTCTGTGATATTTTCGGCAAACATGTGGGGTGCTCTTAGTGACAAGTACGGCCGCTACGTGGCCTTAATCATGCCGTGTGTCGGTCTTGTTTTAAACGGTGTCGTCAATTTACTGGTGGTTTATTTCTGCCTTCCCCTGTGGGTCCTGCTCATTGGGAGCCTGGCGCAAGGAATCGGGGGTGATCTGACGACTGTCATTGTTGGCTGCGCGGGGTACAACTCCGATGTGACGGTTCCGGAAAGCAGAGAGCGCACAGTCCGATTCATCATGATCGATGCTATTTACTGTTTAGTGGGAAGCATCTGCCAGTTTGTGCTCGGGTTTGTCATCAGAACATTTGGTTTTGAAGCACCTTACCTGTCTGTCATTGGATTTATCGCTATCACCTCTGCTTTCATAATCTGGTTTCTGCCGGACAGGCACATCACCCAAACCCATGGTCCTGTCATTGCCCCCGAGGAAGTCCCCTCGAATCCACTCAATGTCTTCAAGAACGTCTTCCACCTGTTTGCCCAGAACAAACGGCGGGGTTGGCTCCTAGCTGGCTTCAACTACATCATCTTCTCCAACATTTTGTTTTCGGTGGCTTTGATGGCCATTAGTGTGTTGTACACAACGGGGGAACCGTTCTGCATGGATCCCTTGCATGAAGGATACTACCAAGGCGCCATGGCTGGGGTTTTTGGCATAGGTATGTGTTGTTCCATGCATACATGTATAATTTATACGTGATGTACGTGTTCATGCTACATGTAGCTGGAATTCAAATGTGTTTTGTTGGTTTATGTACACTGTATTCACGTGTACATGTACATGTATGTACAATGAAACCTTGGGTACAGAATACATATACATGCATACTGAACAAATGTAGCCCTGCAAATCCTGTGATTTTAAGATTTTCCCTACATTTACGATAATGGTACATGCACATGTGTAGACCAAGAGATTTGATGCTTTCCGTGGTTCTTAGTAGTACAGGGGTGTGAAAATTCAGCTTTGTAGCTGATTGCAGCTTTGTTGTTTAGATGTTGACCCTGAATTGCAGCTTTTTTGTGTGCACCTGCTGTGTACAAACGGACGGGGACTTGTTACATGTCAGCTTTTTGCTAGCTGTTTTCAGCTTTAATTTTAAGTGGCCACTCCCCCCCCTGTGTTGTAAGAATGTACTCCACAAGTTGTAGGCCGAAATCCCCACTCTGCTCACTTCAGCTGTTTTAACATCGTTTCCATCGTTTCTGTTTTTCTTCCCTAATCTAGGCGTTTTGTTTGGAGGGATCATAATTTGCAAGTATCTGCCCAAGTTCTGGACGATGCATCTTGCTTCTCTCTCCGTCGTCGCTTCTCTGGTGATCACCGCCCTCGCTAAGAGTTACCTGATGCTTTACATTGGTAGGTTCACAGTTAACAGTCTCAGAAAGCTTCTCGGACACTCCACTGCACATCTCGAGGCCGATTCACACTTGAGACGAAAGGAACAGCTGAGCAGTTCAATGTCAAAACAATATTTAAGGCAAAATTGGCTTGATTTGAAATGAGTTTGACAGTTTCAAATTTGCATCACGAATGTTTAACCTGACGTCACAATTCGGGATCGTGTTCGCTTTCACACCAAGTATAAATTGGCCTTAACTCCCAGTAATTATGGAGGATGGGACCAGGTGGTCGGCCCAGACTGTCGCTTGCCAACTGTTGAGGGGGCACTTGTGCACAGAGTCATCCAGAAGCAGTTGCCACGTGTACATTCACTGTGTTTATTCCCAAAGTTAACCAAATGTTGTGCTTGTGTAGTGCATTTGGTTCTTCAGATGTTTGCCAGCATCTGAGGTTATAACACATGTATTACAACTGAATTTTTTTCCACACTTGCATTTTTAGGTAATGAAATTACTTTTTACCATTAAAAGTTGTGATTTCTCAGACTTGAAAATCAATTTTAAATATTTAGTGAAGTTCACTGAGAGCCAAGTATTTGAGGCATGCAACTTTTCCGCGGATCAGCTGCTTTCCTTGTTTTTTACTTCAGACTCATGCCATTGAAAACTGAAAAATGCCGTATAAAGTCTTGACAAGATTGGAATTTCCTCTTTTTTTGTTAAGTCCAAGTTTCATGCATGGTACATGTATCTCAATACATGTACACATGTATGTGTCATACTGCTATATTGCAGCAGTCTTAATCACACCTACCTGTAAATTGCTACCTGTTGTCACATTCCTATAGTGATAGGTAAAATTGCTTGCCCTCACACATACATGTACCTGTGTATTTTTCTTCAGGTTTAGCGACCGGCTTTTTCATGTTCATGACTACTCCACTGTCGAGGAGCAGTATGGCCAACCTCGTAGGCCCAAATGAACAGGGTGAGATAGTTAATGCTAATCTCTTTCTTAAGAGTGCACCTCCATTGAGATTTTGGCTTTATTCTGCTACCCCAATTAAAGTTGTGATCTTTCTGTTCTGTAACCAATCAGCCCCCATCTTTCTACCCGAACCCCACCAGTGCTCAACCCAACAATATCCAACAGTGGTCTCTTTGTGTGGGATGTTGTTAATGTGAGCAGTGAACAAATGGCCTTTTGGTCTACATGTACATTGTGTAGCTGTTGGATTCTGTCAGGTTTGGTAAATTTGCTTGGAGAAAACTTGAAGGGGAATGGAACTAACCTTAACACACCTCAATCAAAATCCTCCAAAATCCTTCAGGTGGTTTCGGAGGATTTTTAAGGAATTGGGATAAGTGATGATTTATTTATTGACATTGGAGGATTTTGGAAGATGGAGGATGAATGCTGATTTAAAAGCAGGAGAATTTTGGAGGATTGAGGTTGAATGGTGGTTGAAGCATAGAGGATTTGGAGGATTGAGGATGAATAGTGTTTTAAAAGCTGGAGGATTTCAGACGACTGATGATAAATGCTGATTTAAAAGAAGGAGAATTTTGGAGGATTGAGGTTGAATGGGGATTGAAGCATAGAGGATTTGGAGGATTGAGGTTGAATAGTGTTTTAAAAGCTGGAGGATTTCAGACGACTGAATATAAATGCTGATTTAAAAGCTGGAGCATTTTGGAGGATTGAAGGCGAATGGTGAATGAAGTACTCAAACTCATGTCACATGCTGTGGTGGTGCATATGGTCGCACATTATGATGTTTACTTACCCGTACATGTGCCCAAGGACAGTGTGTTCCATTGTTCACTGCTGCTGGTCATAAATGACACAATCCTCAACTGTAGTGTGTTAAAACCAAGGTATATGTATATTTCTGCTTTAATTGTTTATTACAAAGGACATTGATCACAATATACATGTACATGTATACGACTTGTCTATTACACAGGTGTTTCAATGTACATGTATATGCCACCCCCCTTCCCCCAGAAAGTTTTATGAGTTGGAGAATTTTTGAAGGACTAGGGTACAGGGTTGGCTGATTTAAATCACCTTGATTTAAATCACCTTGATTTAAATCACCGATTTAAATCGAGATTTAATTCAGATGATTTTTTGGGGGAAAAAAATCATTGATTTAAATCAACATATTTAATTTTTTGGGGAAAAAGGCAAAACTGTTTCAACTTTTAAATTCTTTTTGCTTATTGGAAATGTTTGCAGGATTTACACATTTTAACCACTTCGTGCCAGGGCATTTTTCAACGTTGAGGATGCTGGGCCGGCATGACTATCATTTTTTCCGTTTTCAAAATCCTTCAACAATTCATCATTCCATTTAACAGTCGTTTATAGCCACACGGAGTAATCTTTATGCACTACTCTAAGTTGACAGGTGACCTTCATCGACGCCCAAATATTTCAGCCAGGCCTGCA